TTATTCGGTCAAATTTTGACCGATTTTGCCTAAGTCCAGAACCGTTGGTGCTATCGACATGGGGTCTTCACCAGGGTGTCCGGAGGACCCCAAAAACCCCCCATAGACACCACTTTCATCCCTCTATGACACTTACTTTTCGAGTTATTCCATTTTATTCGGTCAACTACTGGCTATTACCCCCTAACCTAACCCTAACCCCCTAACCCTAACCCTAAACACAAAAAAGCAGAAAGACAAGAAAGTCAGAAAAGAGAAAAACAGTGAGACAAGTAGAATACAAAAGACAAAGAGGACAAAAAGTGAGAAAAATAAAGAACAGAAATATAAACAACAAAGGACGGGATGTCAAACCAAGCAGGGGGTGCCATAAAAACAAAGAGAAATGTAAATAAAGAAAAACAAATAAGAGAAAGAGACAAAGAAGATAAACAGAGAAAGCAACAAAGAAAAACAAGTAAGAAACTAAGAAAAGTAAGAGAAACAGAGAAAGCAAAGAAGACAAACAAGTAAGAAACTAAGAAAGAATTTTTGAAAAACACAAATAGAAAACCTAAAAGTAGGAGGAGTCAACTAAAAGTATAAAAGCCAAGAGAGGCAGAACAGAACACAAACAGACAGAAACACATTGGGCCAGCCTGAGGAAGGCGAAACTACGCCGAAACGTCGCGAAGGCCCAATGAAGTGCACTAAACCCTAGAAATGGGTAATTTTTTGAAACAGGGCAGGGACACCACCACCCAGCCCCATCGATGGCCCGTGCACGCCAGGCTACCAGCTTGCTGGTGGCCTGTTTCTAATTCAAACCTAACCCTAACCCTAACCCACCATCCTGTCCCACGGTGGAGAGTGCATCTCAGGGAACCGGCGATTGCTGGTGCCCTGATCTTTATTCAACCCCCTAACCCCCCCTAACCCTAACCCCTAACCCTAACCCTAAAAAACCGTGGAATCACGTAAAATGTTAAAAACAGTGTATTCAAACTAATATTTTCTGAAAAAGCAGTTTCATAGGACAGGGCATAAACATCAGTGTTAAAAAAGGAGTATAGTATTGTAAAACAGTTAAAAAACGGTTATTTCATGACATTATTTCTCAAAAAATATAAAATATTAAAAAAAATTCTTTGTACAATGTTTATAGTTCATATTTAAGGGTAATGGTAAAAAGGATTCACATACAGAAGGTTAATACAAATTTTACTAAAGGAGAAATGGAAAAGGATTGACAAAACAAAAACATTTACAGACAGAAGGGTATAAAAGGAGGTGGAGTCAGCCAGGAGCTCATTCGGATTTGGAGCATTGAAGAGTGAACATCTCTTACCAGCTGCAGCACTGTACATTACAGCCACATTTTCGCAGCAGTTTTTTTGTGTGCCAAGCGCCTGAGGAAGACCCTTGAGGGGTTGAAACGTTGCGCGTACGGCACACTATTTTTTGAACGTTTTTGATTAATTAAATAAAGCTTTTGTTTTAATTTTTCTTTCATTTTTTTCATTTGTATCTCGCCACATAAAAGCTCAATTAAGAGTTATAATTATTTAGATAACAAAGGCGAACCCACAAGAACTACAACAATATACAAAACATACAACACAAAAACACAAACGCAAAAATTAGCCAAAGACTGAGGACCGGATGGCCTCAGCAGATTGGACCGTCGTCCGATACGGGAAAAGGCGGAGGCTTTCCCGTAATCGTGACAACCAGCAGGGTGGGTTTCCTTCGGGAGGGATGGCCCGTGCATTTCCTGCCTCACAGAGGTGGCAGGCTCAGTCCCCTTCCCCTAACCCAAAAACAAAACAACAAGACAATAAAAACTCCATCGGGCTCGATGGCTTTTTTGATGATGAGGATGGGTGGACGGTGGTCCGTCGCGGGAGGCGCCAGCGGCATCCTGGGTGGTCAAACTTCCAGCAGCAACAGGTCACCTGGGGGATTGACCGTGCACGTCCTCCTGCCTTTGAAAGAGGGGGGAGGAGTCAGTCTTCATTCCCTAACCCTTGACTGTCACCTTTTTTCCCAAGGCTGAGACTGTTGGTCAGACCTAGTATCTTTTTATGTGTTACACTTCAGAAAGGAAGCATTTAACACGAGCTCTACTTTTTAAATGAGAGAATGTTGCAATGTGGAGGTAATAATGGCGTTTTTGCTGACTTGGCATGAAGCAGAATGATGACTTGTGATTATTAAACTGGAAGAAGTTGTGGGCTGCTCACATTTCTGTGGGAAAAGAGAGGGAAGTTAAGCAGACAGAGTGGCTTTTATGTTTTAGAAAGAGGAATAAAAGGTTCAGACTGATTCTCTGTTCTGAAGCGGGAACTGAAATTCTGAAAGATTCACAGTCTGCAGTAATAAGTGCTGTGTAATCAGTTATAAGTGTATTCAGTTAATGAGAATCAAATTTGAGCAAAACTTTAATACAAAATAAAATAAACTCTCATGACAGAAAAGGAGTGAGCATTTCCTTTTTGAAATAGCAGGTACTTTGAAAATTATCATCCTGCACTGTCCTGCATATTTTTCTTTCTCTAAGATTTAAATTCTCACATTTTTGCCCTAGTGCAGCCACTGTACCTTTAGCTTGCAGAGAATTGCAAATAAGATATAGTATATAAAAATGCAACAACATTTATCCATCCATCACAATAATAATGAGGCTAACCATCGGGCAAAAGTGAGGATTGTGCTTAACTGAGTTTATTTAGCCCAATGTTCAGAAAGTTAAGTAAAATGTATCTAATTTGAAAACCAGAAGGCAGTCCCTGTGAGTCATGTGACTATACTCCCTGCTACTTGTGGAGTATAAAGCTTCTTCATATTGGCTCCTCTCTGTGCTTTTTGTCTTCTCAGCAACACAGAGCTTCCTGAAATCAATAAGACTGGTAAGTAAATGTTAAAAATCTAAAAAGATAAAATTGTGATACAATGTTGATATGAATGGGAGCTCTAAATGGCAATTCTGGGCTGGGTTCTTTTCCAAAACTGGAATTATTAGTAAATAACCTGTGAGCCATGTGAATGGGTTAGATGTTTAACGTTTTACCAGCTGAAAATATTTAGCTTCACTTATAATTGTTATTGTGACCAAATGCAAAAATGGCATTTAACATTTTTATTTCAGTTCAATCTATTACTCCAGAGCAGAATTTAACATTTGTGTATTTTGGTATTTTTACATTGGCTTTAATTATTTGTTTATATTGTCGTATTTAAAGATATATGCTGCTACTACTTTCATTGATAAAAGGATTCTGAACAATATCTGTTTCAGCTTCTTCTGGTGAAGATTTCTGTACAAACTCATCACAATGCCACTGTGAGTAATATGATATGCACACAAGTATTTCCACTGTGTGCGAATGTGTTTTTGTCATGTTAAAAATTTCTGGAGAGACCGAGAATACTCTTTTCATTCAGTATTCAACCACTCTTTTGTGCCTCAATTGCACATCAAATGTATATAATTTTGGTCTTTTGTCATAGTTTTTATAAAGTTTCCGGACATTTGTTTGTCATGTGGATTTTGATGGAAATTTCGTTTGAATATTTAATTGTGTTGAATTAAATGAAAATCACAAAGGAACACTGCGCCCTCATCCATGAACAAATTACTGAGCTATTTTTCCCCCCAGAACAGAGATATAGCTAAATTTCTCTATCTGTAACAACATTTAGTCTTACATGAGCTACATCTTTAGGACATACTTATTTTGAGCTAATAAATGTATTTTTAATTATATGTTATTTTTCTTTAAAGCATTTAAGCAGTACTTTTTGTCTTTTTTCCTGGTTAGACAACTGGATTTAGCGCTGCTGCTCCCCTAAGTTGTCATTTTACACCACACATATCCCTAATGCTAATAACTATATCATGCTCCCCTTTAGTGTTTCACAAGAGTGCTGAAAATATGGAAACAAAACACTACCCAAGAACAAGTTTTAGAAAGATACATTTTTAGCTTGTTTTAAAAAGAGATCACTTAGCCAGAAAAATCTCAGGCTCATTTGGAAAGATCCAGAGTCTGGGGGCTACTATTGCAAAAGCTCTCTCTACCTTAGTTTTGAGTCTTGTATATCACCTGTTAGGGGAGACCGGGAATAGTTGTAACATTTTTGACATTTCTGTCTGTAAATTGGAGCTCTTTTAAGGTAGTGGATTCAAAATGTAATGCAAAATATTTACTTGTCTCTGCTAGTAAAAAAGTGCAGTTATTTTCTCTGCAGCACAGTTACTAAATGCATGGTATGGTCTCAAACACAAAGAGTGAAATGTTAAAATTAACCCCATAGCCTGGGTTAGTTTTAACACATCCTGGGGTGAAATGTAACACAATGAAATAAGGGTACTGAAAACATTAACATGTAAACTTTTTTATGCAACACATGAATGCACTTAGAGCCATTTATGTAGTCATGTGTGTGTGTGTGTGTGTGTGTGTCTGTGTGTGTGTCTGTGTGTTTGTGACAAAATGCAGAAATCTAGCTTTTAAACATTTGAACATAACAATAAAGCTGAAAAAATGTAGCGGTGCACGAGTATCGCACAGCTACATTTTTTTTCATGGCTTACCTTGGTGTGGTTTGTAAAGTGGTTCAGAAAGATGAGGAAATCTGTTTCTTGCACCCATCCTGATTTATTTCCACTACCAATACTTCCTACTGGTCCATCTCTGACACAGTTGTCTGCATAATCTGTGCGTGGGAACAGAAACAGTGGAGGAATTGCCCAGACAGACTGTTGCTGTTACAACTATCCCAGACTCCTATAGCCATGAACTAGCTAACATTACAGCCAACGGCTGAAACATTAGCACTAAAGACCTGCACAGAATATATCCCCATAGACATACAAATAAGATAATTTAATTTAAGTTTGGTGAGTTCAACCGCAAAGCAGATAATGCTATTAGAAACTGAAATAAAGTAAAAAAAAAACAAAAACGTACTTTTTGGCATACAAATTACTTTTTTTCTTCTTAAATTGTCTGTGTTCGACAAAATGTGCTGATTTTTAACATCTTATAGAAGAACTGAATTGGGCATGTAAAGGTGATGAATCACATCATTTGAAACTTAGCCCTGATTGGAGAAATTGGAAGTGTTACAACTGACCCACGTTACAACTATCCCCGGTCTCTCCTATATTATATCTTAGATATGCCATGGTCCTGGGTTATTTTGTCCCAGCATCCCCAGTTTTCTTGTATTGTTGCATTATGTTACTTCATTTTTTATTTTAAGGATTTATTCTATGGTTCCTAGGTTTTTCAGTTTAGTTTATTGGATTCCCTCTTGTGTCTTTGCTCTCTGTGTATCTGTAAATAATTTTGAGTTCTTGTGCCTTGTTTCCCTTCCTTGTGTTTTATTCCATCATGCTCCCCCAGCCGTCATGTCTGTACTCTCCCTGTTACTTCCTGTTTTACTTTGATAGTCTCTTGTCAGTGTATGTCATGTTGTGTTTGCTTCTGCCCTGTCTTACTGTAATTATCAGTGTCAGCTGGGTTCTCCGTGTGCTCCCATGTCCCTCGTTATCCTTCCGTGTATTTATGTCCGCGTCTCACTCGGTTGTGTGCCGCGTTCTCCTTCATGGCTGTGTTTCCTTGTGTGCCTCTTCATGTTAATTTATGATTTTCCCTGTTTATCTGTTTTGCACTGCTTTGTATCACCTTCATCAAGCAATAAAACCATATTTTGAGCATTGTGCCTAAAATACCCGAAACAGTAGATAGATTTGGAAAGTGAAATTTTGGTCAAAGACTAGATATTAGTTTGAACTCTAACTCAGATGGTAAATACTTACCTAATAATAGAACACAAGTTCAGTGATAAGGATAAAAGTATGGCAACCAGGTGTAGTACGTGTAGAGAGGCTAAAAGAGCACAGTTTCAATGTGTTTGGCAGAAAGATTCAAACTGCACAAAATTACACTTTGCTATTGATCTGTTTGTCTAATGTAATTATGTAACAATCCATTTTGTTGTAGCTGGATTTCCTCTCTCAGTCACTGCTCCTCTTCTTTGTTGCTCGTTGTGTGTAAGAGAGGCTACATTGTCACCATAAACCATGAGAATTTCTTCTTAACTGCTGTCATTATTGACCTCTGAGAATAACAGAGGCAGTTTAATGTTGATTTCAAGACATTTTTAATGGGGTTTTTTGTTGCCTTTTTCACTTTTATTTGATAGACACAGCGAAAGGCGGATAGGAAAGGGCACAGAGAGAGAAAGGGGAAGACATGTGGGAATGGACCGCAGATCAGACTCGAAGCTGGGCCGGCTGCTTTCAGCCGTGTGGTCACCTGCTCAACACGATGAGCTAAACTAGCACCCTAATTGGGGTCTTATTAGACGTATTTGCTCATGCTCTCCAACATAGCTTTTATAGTCAATGCACATTTATTTTGAATCACAAATGTGAGTGTAACACTTGCACTATCTAGCCCTGCACCACTAACACTGCGGACAAAGTCCAAAAATCTATTTTTTTATGCCTAAAGATGAATACAAATACTTCAGAAAATAGTCCAGATTGAGGTTGTTATAATTCATGCATGAAAGGGTTAAACTCTCTTTTATGTATTATTATTATTATTATTATTATTATTATTATTATTATTATGTATTTATTTTTTACAGGAACACTAAAAATTCATCAAACTATAAAGACATGATCTCCGAAAGTGATCTGATCCATTCAGGACCTCCTGCTGTCTACCAGCTGAGAACAAAGACAGAGAACGCTGGAAATTTGACAAGAATGATTGTTGGAGAAAAAAATCCACGTAAGCCAAATAAAACCATCTTACTTGTGGGAGAAACAGGAGCAGGGAAATCTACTCTGATCAACGCTCTGTTTAACCACACCATGGGAGTGAAATGGGAGGATGAAGTCTGGTTTCAGATTGTAAAGGAGAAGTTTCCTGTGTTAAGTCTGGAGAAGAAAACTCAAACAGAAGGACAAATAAGAAGTCAGACATCAAATGCGATGGTGTACGAGATCTTTGGTTTTAGGAATGAAACTCTGCCCTACTCCCTGACTGTCATCGATACTCCTGGATTTGGAGACACCAGAGGACAAGAATATGATGACATCATCAGTGAAAGATTATTGGAGTTGTTTGGATCAGAGGGTGGAGTCCATGAAGTTCATGCAGTGGGACTCGTGATGAAGGCAACAGATAATCGACTGACTGACCGACTGATGTACGTCTTAGATTCAATGATGTCTCTGTTTGGAAATGACCTGGAGAAAAACATTGTAGCTCTCATCACACACTCAAATGGAAGGAAAGGAAAGGCCATACAGATTCTTAAGGCTGCAAACGTTAAATGTGCTAAAAATGAGAGGAATGAGCCTGTTTACTTCCTGTTTGATAACTGCCAGGATGAAGAGCGAACAGAGGAAGAAGAAGAAGAAGAAGATCTCCAACATGCTGATAAGATTTCAGCACATGGGATGAGAAATTTCACAGACTTTCTGGAAAAAACAGAGCCTCAAAAATTACAAACAACAGCTGAAGTGTTGAATGAACGAATAAGTCTGCCAGCCTGCATCCAAAACTTGAAAGACAGAATCAAACTGACTGAACTGAAACAGACAACAATCAAACAGATTCAAGATGTTCTGAAGAAACATGAAAAAGAGATGAACAAGAATGAGAAGCTTACTGTAGAAATTGATGAGGTCTATAAAGATAAAGAACCCATTGATGGTGGGATGTGGTTGTTTTTTTATCAAGGAGCTGTCTGCTGTACAGTCTG